ATTTCCCCTGCCGTCGCGCCTCACCCTCACCACCAAAGTGTTCTAAAATTCGGTTCTGCGCAGTCAAGGTCATTTGCTCAAGATGTTTGCCGGTAACTATATTTAGATGCCCTCGGATTCTTTTTGCCATATTTTTGCTGGCCGATTTTTTTGTTATTCGTTGTAAATCAAGATTCTTACTACAAAAACTACTATGACTGATTAAAATGTAATAAAACTTTTTTTTTTATTGCTTAGACGTGTGGACGATCTCACAGCCCACCTGGTGTTAAGTGGTTACTGAAGCCCATAGACATCTACAACATAAATGCGCCACACACCTTGAGATATAAGTTCTAAGGTCTCAGTATAGTCACAACGGCTGCTCCACCCTTCAAACCGAAACGCATTACTGCTTCACGGCAGACATGCTACAACAAAACTGATAGGTACGTGTTAAAATGTCAAAACATCTACTTTTATTCCTCATCAAAATAAGCTAAACATATTAAGTATACAAAGTTATAAAAATAAAAATATTACTCACTCACTACATAAATTGTATTATACTTTTATGTTATTTCATATCAAAAGTGGCTTCATTTTACTATATTATGGCTAGTAACAAAATTATTTAAGCATAAAAATTTAATAATATTTAGTAGCTCCCGCCTGGTTTAGCTTTTTACTGCGCGTCATGTGAATTCTATAAAATGTTAATACACATTTACGATGGTACCAATATACGTAACCAGGCCATTTGTAAATTGTATACTTTATTGGTAAGTGCGTCTGGAGCTTTTATTTATTTATTACACTTCACGTAAAATTTACATTGGACGAACTTAATGCCTAAGGCATTTTCTGCCAGTCAACCAAAGGTAGTGCAGAGTAAACAGTGGTAGGTGCAATGGAATTTATATTAAACTAACCGTACTTACAGTTACAGCCGTAAACACTTATTGTTGCGTAACTATAATGGTTTGAAATATTATTATGCTGTCCCGATACTTTTTGTAAATAATAATGTGTTCTACAAAGTCATAGTACATTATTTTATTCGATCTACAATAGTTTAGTCGCAGCGCACGCGATTTAAAGAATATTTTAGGCAATTTCACACCTTGGGTTACATTATGGGAGTTTTGGTTGTTATGGGATGTTTATGGGGTTGTTGATGGGATTATATGGGAGTTAGCTTCCAAACAGTGAAAGAATTTTTCAAATCGGTTCAGTAGTTTCTGAACCTATTCAATACAAAATAAACAATCAAATCCTTTCTCTTTATAATATTAGTATAGATATAGACATTTCTTTATCGTGATAGTGACACTTGAACAAGTATTAATATTATTAGTAAATGTTAGATAGATCATTAATCTTACCACAGGATTTTATGAAAATCATACTGGTGGTAGAACTTCTTGTGAGTCCGCACGGGTAGGTACCACCCTGCCTATTTCTGCCGTGAAGCAGTAATGCGTTTCGGTTTGAAGGGTGGGGCAGCCGTTGTAACTACACTGAGACCTTAGAGCTCATATCTCAAGGTCGGTGGCGTATTTAAATTGTAGATGTCTATGGGCTCCGGTAACCACTTAACACGAGGTGGGCTGTGAGCTAGTCCATCTATCTATGCAATAAAAATAAAATAAAAACCTTGAAGGTTGAACTTGAGGAACTGCTAGCGACGCGGCGACGTATCAATGATCAACTAGTCTGAAGCCATAAGTCATCTGGTATCAAATGTTGGTTGGACTCCAATGCTAGAGAGGATGTGTCACGTGGCACCACACAAAGCCCAGACTGGATTTTAGTTTGGTAAAAAAACTACAAGGTATTTGATAGGTGAAGGTATTCGTAAAAGATAAAAGTCAGAAAAATCAGGAAAAAAAATGAATATATTTTCGTATAATATAAATGATTTAAGATCTGTTTCACAATTTTTTTTTCTTTTACGCAAATGTGAGCACAATTAGTGCGCAATTTTCAAAACCTTTTCAATATTAATAAAATCTATAAAATGAGTGCGATATTGTACTGCAGCCAATGAAATGTCCAGCTGACGGCAGTACCTATAGACTTAATCCAAAAGTAAATTTATTTAAATTGCAAAACAGTACTTAGATATTTTCCCTTATAATACTAATGAGGTAATTTTTTTTCTATGCTACGATAAATCTCTAAATTACATAGCTATTTTAGATTTTGTCATTCTTACTTAGTAAATACACACAGGGAAACTTTTAATTAAAAAAAAAAAAACAAAAAACCCGAACATAACGTTTACAATTAACAGCTACAATTTTTGCTATTAAACTACCCGCTCGCTCCGTTAATTCGTGTAGCGGCGCGGCCCGCGGACCTCACCTGCGCGGTCCGGGCACAGAAACACGATGAGCGATGGCGGAAGACGCATCTAACATATGACGTCACTGGCCCTTGTAGAGCGCTCTCTTCTAGCATACGATTAATAACATTGTGACGTCATTAGATCTAAACACAATTTAATTCAGTTTCCGACTGTGTGCCCGCCGGTTGCGACCCGCGTTACAAACTGATACAAATTATGACGATAAGACAATTTCTTTCGAAAAAACAAATACATTATTAAGAACATCACAAATCCACATCCTCAATTATATCGGCACTCTTCAAAGCTTTCGATTCAATAGTCACAAAACTGATAGGGTAGACTAGCGGCTATAGCAATTAATTAAAACGTAAAAATACTTGAAACATTCTGTTTACTTGTATTTTTTTTTGTTGCTTAGATGTTTGGACGAGCTCACAGCCCACCTGGTGTTAAGTGGTTACTCGAGCCCATAGACATCTACAACGTAAATGCGCCACCCACCTTGAGATACAAGTTCTAAGGTCTCAAGTATAGTTAAAAGTATATGAGAAAAAAAATATTTTAGAATGACACCGCACATAAAAAAAAAGGAACATAATTCAAATTCAAATACAGTGCATCATAGACTGCATCATAGACATACGTGGACAGCATCACGACCTTCCAACAAAAACGAAGCAACAGACGTACCATACAAAAACAAAGTTCCCACTGTCTCGTTGGAGCAGTAGCGGAGTTCACCTTAACAGTTAAGATCGAGTAGTATCACTACAACTTTACAATAATTACGAATCGCTAAATATATTCTCTCGTTCTTTACAACTCTAAAGATTTTAAGCGACTTTGGTGCGTCCTTAATGACTAATCGAATATATTCGTCTATGAGAATACTATAATCCAAGCCATTTCTAGTACTAGCGATGTCGCGATGACAGCTGTCAGTTCTGACACAAAATGTCATTGAATTATTATTTTTATGGCGCTGACATTAACATTGCAAACAAGTTAGCAACCGTGAGTTCTCGTAAGCAAACTATCTAAAAACTTTAAGTCTAAAACTAAGCTTTGTATTTTTTCTGAATAATCTATAATGAATAATGAGCGTTGTAATATCGAAGGATATATTTCATTTTTTAATCCATTAAAATGAATTTCCTGTAGTCCCCGGTCACCGTCCTCGCCGAACCCGTCGCTTGCGACGAAGGGCTCGACGAGTAAATTAACCCATAGACACAGCCCACTGAGTTTCTCGCCGGATTTTCTCAGTGGGTCGCGTTTCCGATTCGGTGGTAGATTCTGCGAAGCACAGCTCTTGCTAGGGCCAGTGTTAGCAACTTTTCCGGTTTGAGCCCCGTGAGCTCACTTACACGTCAAGGAGAAGCTGAAATTGCCTCTCAAGGCTATCAGCATAGGTAGGGAATAATAACTGTAGTCGTCTCGTAGTACGTAAGACCGGGACCATAGGATGCCGAAATCAAACAGTTTCTAAGAAAAAGTATCAATTGAAATCTAAATTTGCTGTCTGAACGCGAAGGTAGCTGGATTATCGAGTAATTTAATTCCTTTTGGGAAAGTTTTTTTAATTGGAACGAATTTCATTACGGCAAATTTTAATGTAATGCTTCGGACATTCTAATTTTAAGGTGTTTACATTACTGATTTTTTTTATAATTATTATAATGGCACAATAGTTTCGATGGGTTTTTCTCTCTCTCTTTTTCTCTCTCTCCCTAAAGTAGTATTTCGAATAAACACGCTAAATTCTTTTTTTAAGTGCTTTTTCATCCTAGTGGCGCCATCTCTCTTTCCGTGTTCAAAACTAATACAATCTACAGTCAGGCGACATCTAGTGACAAAGCGTACATAACTGTAAACAACTCCTTCGTTCAACTTTGTGTCGTTTTCAGCAAACATGTTAATAGGCAGCATTACATTTATTTTATGGCAGCGCTTATTTTAAAAATACCTTTCATACTGTAACCGAATACTTAGACGTAGATATTTTAAAACGATCTTAAGCTAATTCGACCTTATCCTAAAGCGAATAGACTCCAAATTACTATTACACAATATCTTTTAAGGCAACGGTTTCAGATCTCACTTGTGTGCTCGCTGCTCCGCGCCGCAGCTCTATACAAACACATTCGAATGTGTTTCACAGCGGACTTTTTGGCGGGAACGCGAGGAGTGAAGTTGTGTGATTTGTTTTATTTTGTCTATTTAATGTTTCTTCAGGTTTAAATGTGTAATAACGGTGGTTTATTAACTGTTTAATATCTGTGTTAGTGCACAAATGTGGGAAAATGAAACAAAACCGCTGAACGTAACTTCTCGGGATCCTCCAAAAAGTCCACTGAAAAAATCTTAGTAAATGGCCACCATTTTACTGAGATTATATTTCATCTCATCTCATTTCATTTAATATCATCCCAGTTGATTAATGTCTCAAATTAATCATCTTCATTTCATTTGATTTCACTCCATATTATCATTTTTCATAACAATAAGAATATAAATTAAAATACTACATGACTTAAAGGTCTTAGTTACCAGGTCATAAAATCCCTTAAAAAAAAATTCCGTCCGCTACATCTCGAGCTGTTTTGATCCTTATCGCGACCCAATACAGATGAAAATCGTGTGTTCGATCGATCGCCATATCGGCGTTCTGATTTCAAAATCACACGACAAGCTTCCCGTTCTGGTGGGGGGGCTCGCGGGGGAGCTCGCGGGGGGGCTCGCGGGGGTGCGGCGCGCGGCAGCGGGAGGCGGGGCGCACGAGCAGGATGAGGCCCGAGGCCGCGATGAAGGCCCCGGCCAGGTAGAACGACAGGTCGTACGAGCCTGTCATGTCGTACACCCAGCCTGCACACAGAGTTACACGTTTGAAGGTTTCAAAGTAGTCTCGTGTTGGTAATTACATTGACAGTACAACGCAGTGCCGTCNCTCGCGGGGGTGCGGCGCGCGGCAGCGGGAGGCGGGGCGCACGAGCAGGATGAGGCCCGAGGCCGCGATGAAGGCCCCGGCCAGGTAGAACGACAGGTCGTACGAGCCTGTCATGTCGTACACCCAGCCTGCACACAGAGTTACACGTTTGAAGGTTTCAAAGTAGTCTCGTGTTGGTAATTACATTGACAGTACAACGCAGTGCCGTCGCTCATCTTGAGACGCGAGGTTTAAGTATTTTTTTTTTTGCTTAGATGGGTGGACGAGCTCACAGGCCACCTGGTGTTAAGTGGTTACTGGAGCCCATAGACATCTACAACGTAAATGCGCCACCCACCTTGAGATAAAAGTTCTAAGGTCTCAAGTATAGTTACAACGGCTTCACGGCAGAAATAGACAGGACGATGGTACCTACCCGTGCAGACTCACAAGAGGTCCTACCACCAGTATTCCACAGCAATCATAAAAGATAATATGAAGAGCTCACGCTCTCCTGGTGCGCGGGAATGTGGCGGCATGGATACCTGAAGAATACTCCTACTCCCTCCCAGACTCCCGGGTAGGTACAGTGGAACATCAATCAGATATCACTGTACATTACTTGTCTACATTTTTACATAACATAAACTGATTAATTAACCAAAGCTCACCAGCTAAAGGCGGTCCTATCAAATTCGCCACGCCCTGCATCAGCAGTAGCAACCCATAGGCGTTTGTGAACTTCTCCAGGGTTATTTGTTCCACCAGTATGATGCTGGTCAGGGAGTAGTTGGCTGCGATGAAGGCTCCGAAGGCGCCGGCCGCCGCGGCCAGGCTGAGGTAGGAAGTCAGGAGAGGCATCAGCACCGTGACCAGGCCGCAGAGCAGCATGCAGCCCGCGTACACCAGGACAGGGTTCACGCACTTCCAATCACCCACCCAGCCCAGCAGTATCTGAAATTACAGGAAACTGATGTAGATCTGATGATTTAGAACTGATATCATCAGATATCTATACAAATAAAATTGGAGTGCCTGTTTGTAATATTGAATACAGCAAAATAACATTTTTTACAATTTTTGTCTGTCTATCTGTCTGTTTGTTCCGACTAATCTCTAGAACGGCTGGACCGATTTTTACGAGACTTTCACTGTTAGGTAGCTGATGATATAAAGAGTAACTTAGGCTATTTTTTCGACTAGCTTCGCCCCGCAGCGTCACCCGCGGTACGACAATAACCGCGGGTAACATCGCGGGACTCAGCTATCAATAATAAAAATGTTTCCGAAGCGAAGCGTGGGCGGATCGCTAATTTTAGTATAAATGTCGTGTATAAATGTAGTGATATTATTAGTCGTGAGACGGTACGGCTGTGACATCGACCTCATGTCTCAAGGCAGTGAGTTCCAGTAGCCGACCATACCAAGTCATCTGTCACCATTGAATCTTTAACTAAACAAATGAGTTCACCGGTGCTCAAGATATGTATATTTGATTAACTTTAACTGTCGATTCAGAGCGGGCTCATGGCGTGACTGACATTTCAATGACCGCAACAAGTATATTATACGTATTTCACGAAAATTAGCACGTGTAGTTAAAGACTATTTAAAACAAGAGCGACGCAGAGTTGCTACTACATTGAAATAACATATCATTCAAAATGTTAACGTAAGAAGCGTTATATTTATATCTGTTTAACGCACTAATGCGAACGTTATGTAGGCTAAGATGATTCATTTTGATGGGCCATGTTGAATAATACGATGTCTTATTTCCCTCAGATTATAATGCCATTTTATTTTATATAAATCGAAAATGTTGGAATCAATTTAATTTTTTTTTTCCTAAGCTGATGGCCTTGAGAGGCCATTTCAGCGTAACCCTAACAAGTAGGTGAGCTCACTCATACTGTCTGGGAACACTGCACTCATTCAAACTTTATTTCCCAATATCTTTATTTCCGTATACCATCCGGCTTAGGACTAAACTTCACGGAGTTTCCCGAGCACTTTGGCGTATCCATCTTCAAACGAGGTTTCAAAACAGTCCTAAGTGGTAAGCAGCGCGAATGTACCTCGGCATTACTGATGTTCCAAGATTATTAGCAACTACCCACCATTTCTTTCATATCTTGACAAAATCAAGAACCACTTTTTAGATTTCATGGTTCCTTGGTATATTTCCGAAAGAAATCAAACAATCTAGACAATGATAGACTCTCACCTCTCCGAACATATTGAGGATCCCTATGACGGAAATCAGCATAGAAGACTGGGACTCATTGAAGCCCATAATCATGCCATTATCGGCTATGTACACATACGGCACGTCGTACCACATGTACAGGAGGAAGTTGGATATAGCGAAGATCAGGAACGCTGGGTTCTGAAGGTGGGAGAAGTCTAAAACGTCCACGGCCAGGTCCCAGAAGTCCCAGAGACCGGCGTACCATTGAACCTGGAAAATCCAAAAAAAAATTATTACTGAAATTTATCTCTCATTGTTTTAATATTTAACATACGAATATAAAAGAGATCCTACCACCAGTAAAAGTGAAGCGGTTTCCTATACGCGACTGTTAAATGTTAGCATGTGCATGTGAGTATTACGCAAAATACACTCACGAGTGCTCATCGCTGATGATTTCCTCAAAATTGCATAACGATAACCAGTTTTGACTTTTGAAAAGAACGTCCTTTGCTCATAGCCTCTTGATTAAACTCGACAGCAACAAATTTATTGGAATCATTTAGAAAACGCGGCAAAAAAATTTGAAAGAGCATTCTGCTCCTTATATATTCTATGATATTACAAAGAAGAAAGGGGTGTTCGCGAATTGATTGAAATAAATGAAAATAACCTTACTTTTTCTTTAGCTATGGTCGTCATAGAATTCCTGAAGATATTGGGACACGAAGAAGCACGCAGTCTGTATCTGTTGATGTTCAGCATCGCCCCTCTGTACGTTAAAGAATGACGATGAACCCGCAGATCTTTCAAAAACGCTGGAGGCTTTTTAGTAGATCCTGTCGCTTGACGCCTCAACCATAGGGACAAAGCTGCTTTATCATTCACCGTGGTGCTCTCTTGAGTCGGAGGTGCGATAGGTGTTAGAATACCAGGTGACGTAATTCCTGGGGACATGACTGTCCTTGGAGGGGACTGCTCGTGCAATCGGCCGCTGTCGCTAAAGCTTCTAGAGGGCAACATCACTCCAGGGTAGTTTTGGGCCAGAATTGCGTAAGCACGACCTCTATTTGACATTAGTTCGAAAACTTCTAAGGAAACTCCTTCACCGCCCGTCATGAATGTCGGTAGGTCTACCAAGGAACTAAATTGGGGCACGATTGGTGAAGTCACGGTTTCGATTTTAACGCTGTCTGCCATTTTGGTTGAGCCCGCGGCGCTGCTCTTGCTGTCAGAGAAACTGTCAGCCGAGGAACCGAATCGTTTGTTACGTTTTATCTCTCTTCTGCGTTTACGTTCTTTTGCTCTCTCTTCGTTCATTGTGGCGGTCCAAGGTAAGTCTCTGAACAAGAGACCACACACGGCCATGTTCAAAAATAGGCCAGCTAAGATCAGAGTGGTTCCGCGCCAACCGTACTCATCCAGCATCACGTTTGTCAGCGGCGCAAATATGAAAGTTCCAATGCCGCTTCCACAAACCGATATTCCGGTTGCCAGAGAGCGCTTCTTGTCAAAATAATACGCGACTATAACCACTGCAGCCACGTAGCACAGACTCAATCCAAAACCGGCCATTATGCCGAAGGTCAGGAACAAAGTCTCCATGTTATCCACGAAAGCGGATATAACAAATCCAGCAGCCGCCAGAATCGCACCAAAGATCGTCACACGCCTGCAGCCGTATCTGTCTGTCAGAAAACTGGCAATCGGGCCGGAAAGAAGCGGCATCGCCATGAAAATACCGGCGATCCATGCGGTCTTGCCTTTTCCCTCGCCGAAGTAGTCAAGAAAGTGCGGATAGAACACACCGAAACTAAAGGTGATACCGTCCGCGATGAGGTTGACCATGAAGGAGGCGAAGACGATGACCCAGCCCCAGCCGCCGTCGGGAGGACGTGCCTCTGTGATGGAGACGTCCTCATCGTCGGAAGAGGAGGAAGAACCTGAGGAGGAGAGCGAGACTGGTGCGGGCGGACAGTGCGCGTCGAACTGCACGTGCAGAGCTCGGCGCGGGGCGTGCAAGAGCGGCTCGGCCTCGGGGATGGCGGGCAGCACGCGGGTCTCGCTCAGGGCCGGCTGCGGCGCCGCGTCTCCGGTTTCGCAGGGTCCTCCTTGGACCGACCGATCGTTCTTGAGCTCCGACGGCGGCGAGAGGGGCGCGCGTTCCATTCCGATAGAGCGCGACGGTACTGCGCGCGCAGCGGCTGCAGCGCGAGATCACCACCGCGCCGGGCTTCCATGCGTATACCGCAGCACCTTCGTGACCTCATGCTGGAACAATTTAAATAATCACATTAATTTAATGTATTTTTTTTATTGCTTTTTTATTGCTTAGATCTAAGTCTCTTTTAACAGTACAACAGCTGCCCCACCCTTCAAAACCAGACGCATTGCTGCTTCATGGCAGAAATAGGTAGGATATGCTCAATCGCGCTTTAGCAACACTCAGTACCACCAGGAAGTGAACTTATTAATATTCATCATCATCATTCTCCTACCCTTCTCCCAGTCACATGGAGACAGCGCAACATTTTCCTCCTTCCATACTCATATACCTTTTTTGCTTACTGGGGAGTAACTTACACATATCGTCTTCCACGCTAACGTCTTTCATAACGTCGTGTGTGTGTGTGTGTGTGTGTGTGTGTGTGTATTAATATTTGGTCGTACGAATTGAGAGCGCACACTAACTAAGAACCTTTTTTTCTGCTAAATAGCCACTATCTCTGCGATATCGAAGGATTTTTTTGTTATTGCTTAGATGGGTGGACGAGCTTACAGCCCACATGGTGTTAAGTGGTTACCGGAGCCCATAGACATCTGCAATGTAAGTGCCGCCACCCATCTCGAGACATGCGTTCTTAGGTATTTAGGTCTTAGGTTTTTACAGTACAACGGCTGCCCCACCCTTCAAACCGAAACGCATTACTGCTTCATGGCAGAAACAGGCAGAGCGGTGGTACCTACCCATGTGGATTCACAAGAGATCCTGCCACCAGTAATGAATTATTGAATTATTGAAAACTATGTGAACGTTTTAAAATTCGGCGTCCACCTCGGTAAGGTAAGACGGGATGTATGGCGCATCTAATATTTTGTTTACACACGCGACTACCGGACGAAGGGTACAAAACTACAATATGGTTAGCCGGATGTCCAAAGTCGTAAATCGCTCGTTGTACGAGGTGCCATCTGATTGAAACACAATAGGTAACTCCTATGTCATTAGGGACTCAAGAAGTTACGAATAACACAATCCAAACTACACGACGACGCAAAAATTTAATGACGCTGTTCTGATTGATCATTGCAGCCAATTGATTGTCGTTGAGGATTCGATTGAAGATTAGTAAAATCAAATTATTATTATTATTATTATATTAATACAAATAGAACTTTTCAGCAGGTTTCACGGTATACCATACAAATGTCACAACAAGCCTACACTTAAAATTTTCAGAAAATGTTACCAAAAAGCTTGGATTTTGTCCAATAGGTAATTATACTTATCAAAAAAAAATGCTTATATAAAGTGGCGTAGCGAGAGGGGGTAGGGGGGTACATCATGCCCCGGGCGCTTCTCACAAAGGGGCCCCAAATGATCCGCAAAACAAAAAACTGCTGGATAATTTTGATTTTTATTATAATTGATTTCTGGAAATTTAAACTTAGCGCCAGTGTAATATAATAAATGTTAATTCGTAAATAATAAGGAAATAAAGGAACGCTAATAATCTATATAAATCAAACTGTTTATTGTTTTAAAACTACGTGTTTTTTAAATATTTCTTAATAAATACATATTATGTAAATTCATAATAGGTATCTTTTGAACTAATTCTAAATGATCATATGCATTTCAAAATCTAGTCTTGTTTTCTCCACTACATTTTGCGTCTCAAATTTAAGCCAAGCTTAAGCCTGTAACTTTATTTATTTTACATTATTTATTTATTTGCCAGTAAAATTTTACATATAATTATACGGTTTTCGAGGGTAGGGTTAACAAGTTATTGTGCCCTGGGCGAGAGTTAAAACCGCTACGCCACTGTTTATATCATATATCTATACATAACGTCCGAGCATTCATAAAAAGTTTTATTAATTTATTTGACATGTTGACGTCACATTAAAAATTACAGTAACAGCATCCTTGGGATGACATTCAGTGTTATTAAAAATTTCAACACTGAACAGCAAAAATATTTAATCAATAAAACTTGTTGTTCAGTTGATGATAAATATCTTAATGATAATTATTAGTATTAATATAAATTTATGTAATTTAGATATAAGTTTTTAATATATTTTATGATGATGTTAAGTTTAATAATATATTATGATGTTCTCGTTTGTTGATGGAATCTTAATATATATTATATAAATTACGTGTCATGTTGTTTGTCCGCGATGGAGACCTAAACTACTGAACCGATTTTAACTCTTTTTTTTTTAATATTGTTCCAACTTAGGCCATAGAATGGTTTTTATATACCAACGTTTCACATAAGCTACAATTTAATGGCATAAACACCACGTGTTGCTGAGGCTAGAATATAAGTGAAATTAATTTCGTAGTATGTGTGTAATTCAGTGAACTCCAATTGTTCTTACTTTGTTAATTTTTTATATTAGCATAGCCGGCCACGTGTTATTTAGAAACAAAAACCTAGCCACAGCAACGCGTGGCTAGGTCTTTTTTTATTTTTTATTGCTTAGATGGGTGGACGAGCTCACAGCCCACCTGGTGTTAAGTGGTTACTGGAGCCCATAGATATCCACAACGTAAATGCGCCACCCACCTTGAGATTCTAAGGTCTCAAGTATAGTTATAGTTACATATAGTTAGTCTGGTAGTATTTATATAAATTGTTGCCGTTTACGAAATCGTGGTTTCAGCGAGTTTTTTACCACAACATAAAATAAATATGTAATATTTAATTTTAGTCGAATGGTCCAAATTCTAAGGTCATCACCGACACCTCAAGAATTACAATTTACCTAACTGCTTAGTCTTCGCTTATCTTATACAATTAAAAGGTTACATATAAAAGGTTAACCAGGACCACTAGCGACTGCCATAAAAATTAAATTAAAAGGAACGAAATAATTAAGCGCCAGCTGATGTACGTGTGCGACCTATCCTTGAAGTAGTTTCGTGAAGGACATCGGTTGCGGCAAAGAGCTATTAAAACAAGGCTACCAATAATAATAAGGTTTGTTTATATCGAAACGTGAAAGGCTACTTCGTTTAAGGGACATTTCGCGTAGTACGCGACATTTACCTTTGTAATTAAAGGTGCGTTTTAGTTGGTATTAGTAGTATCAACCAACCGACCTTTTTAACTTGAACTTTAAGTTTATCCCAACTATATATTAATACGTGAAGGAAAAACTTTGTATCGCTTTTTACGCAATTGCGCGGACGGAGGAGTATGAAATTTCCCACACTTATAGAGAATACAGAGAAGTGTAGAATGTTAATATTTTTTTTAAATTTTGCCTAAAAATACATTAAATCAATAAAAAAAACATAACACACTCTACCATGTATTTCACGCACCCACGCATGCGTACTATTTATTTATTGTCGAACATATTTGTTCTTGACGTCTGTGGTCAAATTGAGAATAGATTAAATATTGTTTGTCTTTATTAATATTTTTCTATAGTGTATTCTTGGCGAAATTTGTGATTATAGAAGTATAATAGTCTTTGAAAATAGAATCATAATAGTGTACAAATTTACAATTTCCATTAATTATAGTCGAATTTCGACTACTGCGGGACCACTAGTTTAAATAAATAGCTTTTTTTTTGGTATTATTGTGATATTCTTTCCCAAATTTTAAATTTGAAATGGCTCTCATGTAAACTTGCAAAAATGTCGCTTAAACTAAATAAATAACCTTTCACCTCTAGATATGTATTTTGAATATTTCCTAGCTGAGATTAGTGCATTCAAATCACAAACTACATTTTGATATCAGGCAATTTGTAATAAAAGCCTTGAAAAGAGCATAAGCACAGACTTTGTATTTTTAATACAATTTTGCATTTACTATTTCCGAATATGCGCAATCACACTATCGTGCAAAAACAATCATCCGCTTAGTTGAAGATCTTGTCTGTGTCATTGTAAATTAGTTGAGAAAGTTGCGTTCTCAAATCACATCAGAGTCACCAGTTTGCTGTGTGATAATTTGATTTTTCCAAGAACCAAAAATTTTAATTCAATTCCTACTAACTAGATTCTTAATGTCTAAAGGTGCAATTGATTAGCGACTATAGCATGTTGTGGTAATTCAGCACAATCCGTACAATAATCGATTCGTCAATAAAATACCAGAAACTTAGTTGAAAATACTTAAACTAAATACACAAACAGAGCATTCTTACAGATGCTAAAGTGCTGACTTGATTCAAAGTTTTGTCATCCATTACAAAACTTCGGACAGTTCGCGAACTGGCGGCTTTAGTTTGAATAACTTTTACTGGTACATCCCGATCTCAGAGCTTCATTTGGAGACTTAAATTCTCAACAATCGCAACATTGTCAATCAAATTCTTGTGTATTTACTGGTGGTAGGACCTCTTGTGAATCCGCGCGGGTAGGTACCACCGCCCTGCTTATTTCTGTCGTGAAGCAGTAATGCATTTCGCTTTGAAGGGTGATTATACTTGAGACCTTAGAACTTATATCTCAAGGTGGGTGGCGGTATTTACGTTATAGATGTCAATGGGCTCCAGTAACCACTTAACACCAGGTTATGCGCTCGTCCACCCATCTATGCAAAATAAAAAAAAGTATTTTTGCGAAGTTTTCATATCACGAATTCGTGTCTAGATTCTCGACTTACCCTTTGACTGTCATGTAGGTCACCGGTGCCCTACGCGGCGCACTGAAGTCATGTCATGTCATTTGTGTTACTAAGCGTCTGGATTGCCTAACTCTACCTTCTTTTGTTCGTTAATAGTCTTTCAGGTCTCTTAGAAATAGATTCATTTTCAGCATCTACGGATTCGTCTTTCCCACCCAGAGTCTACTAGATATTCCGTCGCCTTAGTAAAAGTTACACGACAGTCAAAGGGCTGAGTGACGTCAACCCGGGTTGGACGGGTTTATTAATCTTACAAGATTTCTTGAAAATCTTATAAGACGCCGGATGCCCGTCTGGTGTCGATTCCTCGTGTCGATCCGAAGCAATCAATGTAGGGTCCTAAGGTGTACGATATCGCACAAGCTCACTCGAAATTAAACTCAAAACTTC